GTCGTGGACTCCAGCCGGGCTCGCGTCGCCGCATGAGTCTCCTGCAGCCCGGCAATCAAGTCAGCAGCGCGCCGATCGACGGCCGCCAAGGATGGCAACACCAGCAAGTCCGACGGGCCGCGGGGCCGAACTGCATAAACCACCTCAAACGGAGAAAGGCCCGTGGCACGACTAACAGCCGAATTATGAGCAAATTCGGCCTGGCTCAAGCGTTGGTCCCAACTGCGAAGATTATCGCCTACCAAGCAACGAAGGAGGTTGCCTAGCGAACGATTCACGACCTCCGTCTGGCCGTCAGTCTGGGGGTGATAAGCACTACTGAAATCCAAACGAGTATTCGCCATACGCCACAGGCTACGCCAAAAGTGGCTAAGGAAGCGAGTGTCGCGATCTGACACAATAGAGGATGGGAGGCCATGGAGACGGTAGACCTCACGAAAGAAAAGCATCGCAACATGAACTGCATCAGTGGTGCGCTTGCATGGGATGAAGTGCACCATCTTGGAAAACCTGTCGACGACCACAAAGATAGAATCAAAGCCCCTCTGGGTACGATGTAAACCCAACACGAAATCCATGCTCACAGCACTCCATGGTTGAGAGGGAATAGGAAGAGGACGATAAAGCCCGGCATTCGAAGCAACCCCCTTCGAGACGTGGCAAACACGACACCGTTCAACAAACCGACCCACGTCCCGGCAGAGAGAAGGCCAAAAATAAGAGCGGGCGACCAGAGCAACAGAACGGTCCCGGCCCACATGCCTGGCCCCATGGAGATCGGAAATAAGCTTAAGGCGAAGGCTGCAGTCCAGAATGCACAGTCGTACCCCCTGAAACACATCAGATAATAAGAAGCCATCAATCGGACCGGTCACAAGGTGTCGCACAATCGGGCCAAAGAATAGATCCTCCGCATATAAATCCCGCAAAACATCAAACCCAATGACAAAAACGCGCATATCCATCAACAAAAGCGCACGACAACTCAAGGCGTCTGCCACCCGGTTGGAAACGCCCGAACGATGTCGAAGAACAAAGGTGAAATGTTGTAAGAAAGCAGTCCACGAGGCATGACGAGCCGAGATATTATTCTGTGTGGCCAAGTGTCGCAGCGCCTCGTGGTCCGTATAAAGGATGAACTCACGATGAAAGAGATAATGCCTCCAATGTCGAACTGCCCGGACCACGGCAAATAATTCGACGTCATACGTACTGTAGCGGGACCTCGAGCCAGACAACTTCTCGCTAAAAAACGAGACTGGCCTACCATCCTGACCGAGAACAGCGCCAATCCCGACCTTCGAAGCATCGCACGAAAGCTCAAACGGCTTCGAAAAATCTGGGAGCACAAGCAGGGGGGCGGAGGTCAGCTTGCTCTTAATAAGAATAAAAGCATCCTCGGCCGCTGGGGTCCACTCAAATGACTTGTCGTGCAAACAATCAGTAATAGGAGTTGTAATCGTGCTAAAGTGGGAAATAAAGCGTCGATAAAAGGAAGCAAGACCATAAAAGCTCCGAGCCTCAGTGAAAGACGTCGGTGATGGACAATCCCGAATAGTAGCGACCTTACCCTCGTCCACACGAATACCCTTGGCATAGATCACAAACCCCAAAAACAACACCGAATCAACCAAGAAAAAACACTTACGAGGAGCAGCGAAAAACGACTCAGCACGCAAGACACATAGCACCTCTCGCACATGTTGTAGGTACTCATCCACCGTCCGGCTGTAAATAAGAATGTCGTCGAAATAAACGACGACACTCCTGCCAATAAAGTCCCGTAATGTCTGGTTCATCACTCTCATAAATGTGCTGGAAGCGTTAGACAAACCGAAAAGCATGACCATCCACTCGAAGAGGCCCTCGCGAATCTTGAAAGCCGTCTTCCACTCGTCACCTGGCCGAATCCTAATATGGTGATAGCCACTGCGAAGGTCTAACTTAGTGAAAATAGTAGCACCATGGAGCTGATCCAGCAAATCATCCAACCGAGGTATCGGGAAACGGTATCGAACTGTGATCTTGTTGATGGCCCGGTTGTCCACACACATGCGCCATGAACTGTCCTTCTTTGGGATCAAGAGTGCCGGCACCGCACAGGGGCTCAAACTCCGCCGTACTACCCCACGCTGTAGGAGGTCCTCAACCTGTCGCCTCAGTTCCTCATGTTCCAACGGTCTCATTCGATAGTGAGGTCGATTTGGCAAAGAAGCCCTGGGAACCAAATCGATTTGATGTTGGATATCGCGTAGAGGTGGCAAGCCCGAAGGAATCTCCTCCAGAAACACATCTGAAAACTCGGCCAAAAGGGGACGGATAGCTGCCGGTGGGGTCCGCTCATCACCCTGATCGACCCCGACTAACAAAAAACACCACGAAGAGTCACGCAATTCAGCTAGAAAGGTTGAGCGTGAAAGAATAAGCACTGGTGCTGTAGAACTCGGTAATGGGACAGAACGAGGGGCATTAGGAACCAGAATAATCTTTACCCCACCAAAAACAAAAGAATATGTGTTGAGCCGCCCGTCATGCGTAGCCGCCCTGTCGTACTGCCAAGGACAACCCAACAACAAATGACATGCATCCATCGGGATCACATCACGCCACAACTGATCATGATATTTAGTACTAATAGAAAAAGAAACAAGTGCTCGACGATCAACAGTAACAGTCGTACCTTTCTGGATCCATGCAAGAGTGTACGGTTGTGGATGAGGTTCGGTAGCCAGCTGCAACTTAGCGACTGCATCCTGAGAGATGACATTCTTGCACGAGCCCGAGTCAATGATAAAGCAGCACACTTTGGTACCGAGTGTGCATGTAGACTCAAACAGATGGTGCCGCTCCACTGGTACATCACTTGAACCCCTCGGTACCAGACATGTACGGCGAATGACTAAGGTCGTCCCCACGTCCCCGGTGACATACTCCTCAATCTCCCCTGGTTCGACATCGTAAATCGGCTGTCCCACGTACTCTTCGGACCCATACTCTCCAACATCCTCTACAACTAATGCCCGTGACGCCGCACCCTTCAGACAGACCGCCTGGTGATGTCCCATCTCACCACACCCAAAACACCGAAGCCCGGCAATCGCACGCGAAGCTGCTGGAGAGAGATGATGTCCGCCGCCTACAGAAGCCCGCTGGTATGGCCCACCGGATCCCGCCACACACGCCGAAGCAGCTCCCTGGCCTAAACCTCAGTCCGCTGCCCCCGCTAGCCGTGCGGGTACTCCCGCGCTCCCCGCAGGACCCCCTGGCCGCGACGACCACCCCGCACCCGCTATCGGCTGTTGTTTGAGTTGCGTCTCAACAAGTATCGCTCTTTGGTACGCATCCAAAATAGAATCCGGACGAAAAAGGTTTAACATAGAACGCACCGAAGAACGCAATTCGCCGACATAACGGGACACCAACTGATTCTTAGACTCCCGTAGCTCAACACGAGTAAGGAGTCTATAAAAGTCACTTGTGTAATCATCCACCGATCGTGCTCCCTGCCTCAAGTTCTGCAACTGTTGATAAACAAGACTATCGTAATTAAATGGCACGAACTCACGCTCCACATATTTTCGAAACTTCGACCAAGATGTCAACTCCGGTTTCCCCTGGCGATGTCGCGTGCTCGTGAGTTGCATCCACCATGTGGCCGACCTACCCCGAAAACGGATGGCGACCAAAGCAACTCGTCTAGCTTCCGGGACCCCCTTAAACCTAAGGACCGCCTCCACCGAAGCCCACCACTCCATAAAATCCGAACCGTCTACACTTCCTGCAAACTCCGGGATATCCACCCGAAACCCCGCTTCCCATCGTGACTCATCGCCCCCTTCTATCGGACGCCTGCCGTCACGGTGGTACTGACCATTACGTTCGAAACCCTCGCCTTCACGATATGCTGCTCGACGCGAAAATTTCCGATCGTGCCCCCCTCCGCCATGACCGTGGAGGTCGTCCTCTTCGAACTCCGAGTCAGACCCGAGTGGAGTGGTACGTCGCTGCCGGGCATTATTCTCATCGGGAAAACGACCAAAGCCATCGTCAAACTCTCCGCCGTTGTTCTCTTCATCGAACCCGTCCTTGCCATAAACGCTACGTTCACGCCTCCTATTGCCGCCGCCTGCAAACTCCCGATGCCGACGACGTCCGCCATAGCCGCGTCTGTCCTCTCTCGCGAACGGATTCTCCAGGGTGACAATGACATTGTCATCCTCGGTGCCGGACAGAGGCGGTGGTGAACGGCGACGGGGCGCCCCGTCGTAGCCGCGTCCTCCCCTACCTCCGCGAAACCCTCCGCGCGCGCCCTGGTCACCGGCGTCGCGGTTCGTACGGACCTCTGTCATCATGGTACGCATATCCTGTTGCAATTCCTCGATTTCGGTGTTGATGTCGGTGAAATGTTCATCCATCCCTTGAAATCGATCTTCCATCCTCTGGAATCGTTCCTCAATGAAGATGTCGTTTCGTTTTGGCGGCATCGTGGATCGCTGCTGGGCTCTGATACCAACTAATGTAGAGCGTAGTACAAATCGGCAGATAATGAGATACTCTCTCGTGAAATAGAACGAACAAATTTTCATTCATCAAAAATTGACTTTCTTTTTTGTTCCATCTAGCATAAATAATGAAAGGAAATTAAAATAAGAAACCTAGTCTTGCCTAAACACTTGCAAGACAATTATTTTCCTACCATAATTATTATAAAGACTAAAGGAAATAAACTATAATAATAATAATATTGATAAAAGATAGATAGATTAAACCCGGAGCCGGTCGTATTTATTCAGAAATGCAATGGCGGTCTCGTCTTCATAAAAAATCATAAAAATTTGAAACATTTCTCATTCTCTCTCTGAACAAGACTGTCTCCCTCCTCAAAGCCATTGTCCATTGTCGGATTCAAAAAAATTTTGAGCAAACCCCCTGCCGCCCCTCGACCTCTTTGAAGCGAGAAGCTCAACCCTCGACCTCCACAGTCTGTCGTTGGCCATCATTTCCGACCAAACACCTGTCTGCCCGTCAAACACCAATGACAGGCTAAAAAAAATTCCCACTCGACTTTTCGTCCTCCTCTACGTCCAAGACAACAAATAAGGTAAGTCTTTAGAATTCAAATTTTAGGGCTTTTTTCAAATTTTGATTTTGTTTTTTAGTTCAAAATTTTGCAGAATTTGGGAATTGGTTATCTATTTGGTACTGATGAACTTCGAGTTTGACTTATATTTTACCAATTACGAATTTTATGGATAAATTGGGTTCTTTGCATGATTTAGAGTTTATCATTTTTCGATTTGGGTATCTTTTTGAATCAGGGGTCTTTATAACTTAAAATGTTTTATATTTTTCTGATCGGGAATGATCTTAGATGTAGATGTGCCCCTTCATATTTTAAAGATGTCATGGACAAGATTCTTATTGTTCTTTATGACCCACATAAGCAAGCTCTTCAAAAGAGCCCGTGTTATTTTTTATTTTTTTCTTTCTGAATATGCCTGATTACCGATCACCCATACAAGAGTCGAGACATTGATAAGTACAAATAGGGCATATTCTTTCTGAATATGCCTTTGTTGTTGGAGACGGTTTGTTTCTTAGTTTTGATTCCCCTGAGTTCTGTATCACTATAGGAATGAGAAGAAGTGGTCTAAGTGTAAATTTAGATCTTAGTTTGGAGTCTAAAGCTTTGTTTGATGGTAGGTGTCGGGTCGACGAGGCTTCTAAAAAGAAAGCTTGTTGTGGATTTGATAGAAAAGTTTGTTGTGGATGAAGCTCGTGTTGATGACTTCATTCGGATGTTCAGTCTTCTTGTGTTTAGTTGTTCCCATGTTCAAGTTATTCTATTTCGAGGTTTCTTTACCTTATTTGGAGGAGAGTTTCTGAGTATGCATGGGGAGATGCAACTCATAAATTCTTGGTTGGGGATATAGTTCGCCATACAAAATCGAGAGATTAATCGTACTTTGATAGATGTTCAGTGGGATTATTGGTATGCATAGATTTGTTTCAATATCTTAATACAATAATATTAAATCGTGAAATTGTGTAATTTTCAAATCTTGTGTATCTGTAGGCTTGATTGTTCGATCGTGTTCCTTCTCTGGGCAAGAGGTCGACGCTCGAGGTGATTCTCCGCCTAGGTGATTGCAATCCCTTAGGAAAATCATGAGGCATAAAGTAATTTGTATAATCTTTATAGTATTATTATGTATCTTCTTTTCTTTTTCTTTTTTTTTTTTTGGTTAATCAAATTGTACTTTGATCATTACAATGGAAGAACTAAATTGAATTTCTAAAATTCCACTGAACAAAACCAAAAATTTATAGGTTGCAGGAAAATAAGTATCTTCTTGAATTGATGTTGGATGTCCTTTGAATGTTTGAATTCAATGTAATTTAAAAACCATTTGTCATTGTCGAGAATACCAAAAAAATGACCAATGTAGATCAAATGGGGTCAATCTGCAATATTGCATAGTTACTAAAATAAAATGAAATATGAAAAATTTCAAATTATATGACCTTCATATGATAAGATTAACCTCTCTCAAATAATTAGAGTCAATCATAAGAAAAAATATGAAAAGTTAATACTGCAATAAGGTAAAACATAGAGGGCCAATGAATTTGTATCAATATAATATTACTGAATGAATATATTACAATCTGAGCAAGGTAAATCTAGTAATGAAGATTGGGGTAGTTGCTAACAATTTAAAACCTATGGCAAAGAAAGAGCATCAGGTCCCAGGCATCGTACTGTTGGTGCTTGATAAGATTATGAAAGCACAAACCACAGAGAGTGAAAACACAGAAACCCAAGTGTTCTCTGTATACATCTCCATCGCATCAGTGAAAGAAAAACGGGTTCGACTTTCAGCCCAGTTACGTAGTCTATCGGCCTCAGCAGCATATAGTGCTCGTCCCTACACCCCATTCCCCACCCCAGAAACAATAATAATAATTAATTAGTCGAAATGCCAGCTTTTGAAAGAAGACTCATCACTCCCAACTAGTGTTGATTATACGATAACTGTACTATAAGACGGTATCAAGTAAATTTTTATCTGCCATCTTCATACTTTCTAGACAAAGCTACATGCTTTTAAAGCTAAAATTCATACACTTTGGAACATTATTTTATATTAACTGACAAAAATTATTTTTTTTGTCAATTATGTAAATGGAATTTTTTGAAAGAACGATTGTTTGCCTTTATCGTACGAACTATGAACTTTTATAAAACACATGTGAAACCGTCTTACGTTAAATTTGCGTAGATTACAGAGAAATGGTGTACAAATGCAGATAAATAGATAGATAGATAGATAGATTTACCTTGTCATCAAACCAGCGGCCACGTCTGAGCCATGCAGTGACAAGAGCAAGTAATATCCTTGGAGGAGTCAAATAGTTGATAGCTTTCCCACTTCCCTTTACAACTCTCATTCGAGGAACTAAAGTTCTGGCTACTGTCTCAGGGAGCTCACAAATAATATTAAACATCTGCTTGTTTTGTACGCTCGAACCACTGCCATCAACATACCAATGCACATAAATTCATTAAACAGAGAACTAAAATAACCTCACGCGATGTGAAAATGACTAAGAAATGTATTATTTATTCCTAAAAGGCAAGCGGCCATTTGAGGAAATAAGAAGCTGTCAATTTATTGAATGGGAAGAAAAATATATAAAGTAGCATATTTCTTTTCTTAGACATGGATGCAACTCTACGGGTCACCACTGGTTCAATAATTGAAAAATGAGATGATTCAGGAATACACATTGAAGGCAAAGGATCTTATAAGATGTTTTTCGAACATGAAAGTTGTTATATCTTACTTTAGAAACATGCTGTTGAAGTCTTTGGCGGCCAACGACTCTGCTTATAAGATATTCTTACAAATTTAAAATAAAGCCGTTTCAAAACATCTTTTACGAAGGTCTGAAGCTTTTCAATCTGGTCAACGGGATATTCGTCTTCAGCCCTTTAACAATGTTACTGATATAATAGATACAATTAACGTTAAATCAGACCAAAATTAGCAAGACATGAATCAGTCTCCCAAGAAGCTACAAAGACTTGCTAATGAAAACCCCTTTTTTATAGAGGTTTTAAGTAGAAAAACGGTGAATTGACCCCACATTAGGCAGAGCCCAACATCACAGCTTACTTCCACGACACCTAATATTGGTGGTGATTGAACTTTTACATGAACGGTAGTTTGGTTAAATTTGAACAATCTTTAGTTGAAACATCCAAATGAATGGTATAACAAGGCATACTACTTGAAATCCAGTCTGTATATCCAAATACTTGATTTTGTTACGAAATTTTCGCTTATGATACTTGTCTATGGATTTTTTTCTTTTTTTGTTTTTTTGTTTGCTTGTAATGCATAAATCCTCCCACCAAGCAAGACTCAAGGATATGAAATCCAAGAAGAAAGCAGAGCAAATAAATTGGGTACCTTAGAAGCAAGTCAGTGAGAACCATGCCTGGTGAGGCAGTGTGGACTCCAACCTTTGATCTCCTACACTCCTTCAGAAGAGACGATTGAAGCTGCCTAAGACCACATTTTGTCGACCCATACCTATATTTTAAAGCATATGAGAATTGAATATTGGAAAAAGTGGAGCATCAAGCCAACAGAATTTAATCCTTCAAACAAAAGTTGCTAGAATTGAGCTTACACAGCAGTTAGTGGAGTGCTAGAGCCCCCAGATCCGGCACCATCCATGTTAAAAATATGGCCACCCTTTGTTTGGCCTCCCATTATCTGTAAGGCTTCACGAGTGCAAAGTATCGACCCAACCAAATTTGTTGATACAATCTGCCCGTCATTTTCATGGAATGTTTGATAATATAAGTCTTTTCGTTTTTTTAATGGGAATTAATATGAACTTGAGAAATGTTGCAAAATGTTTTCCGTTTTGGAAGCTGTTTACACTCATGATAAGACCTTGGACTATTTATGCCTTTATCAGAGATTACTACTTTAGTATACCCTAAACATAAGTCATGGAGCTGCCGACGACCTTCACTATAGTTTAGTATATGATCTCTTCTTATGTTTACTACTTTAGATAATTCAACAACTGGATATTTGACCAATTGATTGGTGGTAAAATTAAAGTGGTAACTTCTGTACATATGTTTTCTGTGACCAAGTTGAATGGATTACAGATGCTTGTCTCATAATTTTTCCTCGTGATGTACAATACTACGAAGAAAGAATAGGTGATACGACACTTGTATCCATCATTTCATCAATTTGATACTGACAGTGTAAATTTATTTATTACGAGTCAAACCTGTTGTATGTCGTCATCATTAAACTGTAGTAAAGGCCTAAATCCTTTGTTTGTCCCTGCATTGTTCACCTGTAACATGGTTAAACATATAATAAGTTGCAAGAAATGCACTACAAAGAGCTCTGTCTACCAAATTGCTTACCCAGATATCAATTGGACCAATTGCAGTGACAGCAAAATTTGCCAACTTCCTAACATCTTCAGGGTTAGAGACATCACACGAGATTCCCACTACTTTTGCATGGCGTAAATGTTGTTTAGATGTACCGCCTGTGGCAAATATGACTTGCTTCAGATTCTCGGCCAGTTCTTTGATGGTCAAGTCAACTGATTCAGGGCTGTCTCCCGAAAAGCCAAAGGAAAAAAAAAATGCTTAAAAAAAGAGAGAGCGAGAGAGAAAACATACATATTACCAACTTCATTAAAGTTAATTGCTTACTTGCGAGAAGTAACAACAACCCTGTCACCTGAAAGTAAAAATTCACGTGCCAAAGCTTTTCCAAGTCCTCGTGTGCTGTACCAAGTACATGGATAAATTTCATAATCAGCTCGAGTTTTAGTAAAAACACAATCCTACATTGTTAAACCTCCGCTATAATGCACTTGCACTCTTGTAAAAGTAACATATATTTTCTTAATTCTGTTTTAGTTGAAGGTACTGTTGCAAACCGATCAATAAGCTTCAACCACACCATGCTTAATTTGCACCATGATAGCAGTTAGGCAGTTATTTGCAGTGAACCTCAGGTTTTCATCTTAATTCTCTCATTTAATTCTCAGGTGCCAGTCACTAATATTAATTTTAACAAAAACTATACCTTCCAGTAATAACAACATTGCGGGGCCCGGATCGACTAACTTCATCTAGCACCATGTTGGCACCGATCATTGTCCCAATAATAATTCCTCCGAGCCAACTATACCAAACTAATGCATTCATCTGATCATCCCCACCTAGAAAACAATTTTTTTTTTTAAAAAAAAAAGAATCAAATCTCATATCAATTCTTCAAAATGACGACACAATAACTAATATCCTACCCGAATGCTTAACATCGTCACAATGTACCTCCCAATATGCATCGAGAGCTGCTCAGAAAGAAGGGAACTTTTTTTCACATTCATGCAGAGTAAGGTGTGAGGATTTTACATATCCTCTTCAATAAAGTACAATTTGGGAGACTAAAATTAGCCACTCACTCACTCCAAGCCATATAACATACCAAAAGCTCAACCTGTGGTGAAAACTACAAATTAACTGTACACAACTCAACAAAAAAAAGCCATCAATTTGAATTGTATCATTTTTCTTAACAACAAAAAACATGTAGGTCTTACAAACTCCCCAAGAACAATTTTTTTTTAATCAACTATGGATATCCCAAGAATCAAATTTCAACCAACATAAGTTGGCTCAATTGGTAAGAAGCTTGATGTCGCTTAATCAAGGTTTCGGATTCGAGTCCTTATGGATGCAGAAAACCTTTGGTGGGAGACTCACCCACCACTGCCATTGCCAAGTGTGTGACCCAGATAGACCAACCGATTAGTCGGGGCATAGCTCCAATTACCGTGGTTGGCTACCAAAAAAAAAGAATCAAATTTCAAACTTACAGAAAATAAAGTTCGTTCCAACTTTTCGAGCGCCTCTGCGAAATTGGGCTGCGATCGGAGGCTGGGTTTGGAGACTTTCCACACAGCATTTCTAACAAGGCCCACCAATTTATTCACACCTTTTCTCGACTCGAAACCATTGCTCGTTTCCACTACAACACAGCACTTTTCCTCTTCAGATTTGATGCATGGTCGAGCCCAAATGCTTCCCCAACCACTGACGCAAACCGAAGGGTCCCAAATAAGGCGGCGGGTGAGGAATTGGTCGCCGGTGTGGCGGTGATAATCCGGCGGCGACCGAAAGTGAAGCTTTGCCACCGTGTTCATTATCAACAGTTATATCTTTTTGTGAGGAGGTTCCGAAATGATGGGGTTTATCCAGTGATGTTTTTTTCCTGATGATAATATCGGAGCTGTAACTTTCGGGTTCTTGGATCGTAGCATCAAGAGTTATAAATATCTGGACAAGAATTAGGACAACGAAGTTAGGTAGTGAAATAAAAGAGACAGAACTGAGATAAGCGTGACTACCACACGTTACGCAAAACCTCATCTCTATATGATAGGTGTTACTATTTACCACATGATACCATTCTTGGAAAAGACGATTTTGACCTTTTCATTTAAAAGCATTATTAATAATTAATTTTTTTTTAATTCAAAGAATGAAAGCTAACCTCTAAGCCTCGTGATTAGAAAGGTAAAGACTCATGTCTATCGATCTTCTTTGCTATTTACTCGAGTGTTTCGGCCGAATTCGAGAGGAGGTGTCTCGGTAATTTTTGAGTTGGTTGTTGTGAAGTGTAGTTGCACTTGGACGATTTTCTTACACGAGTGAGCAACCGGATTGTGGTTGTCCAAAAGGCTCTCCAATTCACAAATATTTTTTATTTTTTTTACAATTTTAACAAATTAAAAAAAAAAAAAAAGAATTCTGGGCGCCGGCCGGCCGGCGATTGTGGCCAATTTATGTTGGGATGGCCGCCTATTGCGGCCCTTACATTTTCGGCTGCATTCTTTAGGTGCGGCCGGTTCCCATACGGCCGCTATTCGCGGCCATTTCTTGTTCTACGAGCCGCGCGCGGCCTCGGGCGGATGGTCGGTCCGTTCTGTGCCGCGCGTTGCCCTCTTTGTTTTATTATGTTTTTTTTCCTTTTTTTAATTAAAAATATTTTTAAAAATAATTAAAAAATTTAATAATAAATTTATTTTAATAACATTGCAATAGTACTTAAATATGAATATTTAATAATAAAATTTAATAAAGAAATTAAATATTAATATTTATTGAAATTAAATTTATATACTAATATAATTTATAATAATATATATTAAAAATTATATTAGTAATTAGTATAATTATGATACTAATTACTATATTAGTATAAATTAGTATTTAAGATAATTAAAAATTCTATTTATACTACTATATTGATTTATATTAGTATTTAGAATAATTATTAGCAAAATTATACTTATAATTATACTAACTACTATATTAGTATATATTAGTATAATATTAGTATTTAGGATAATTATTATTATAAAATAATAGTATAAAATTAAATTAATTATATTATAAAAAAATTATATTAGTATAAATTATTAAGTTATAGATTAGAATGAATTATCTTATAAAACTTATTTTATTAGTATTATGTCAGATTAGTTAAAAAATTACAAATTACTATTACTATGTTAGAAGTTATAATTGATTATTTTATAAAAATTATTAACATATATGGTAATATACTGCAGGGGTCACTCGAAGATTTTGGAGGAAAGGTGTTGATTACGGATGTTGTTTCGCTACAACTGACATATTTGATAGTTGTGATGAAGCTGTTTGATATAGGATATTATACCCACAAGGTTAAACTGGTAAATAGACCGGTTAAGGAAGTCGTATTATGAGGAAGCCAAGGAAATCGAGCAGTTAACCAGTCGACCAAGCAGAGTTGTCGACCGAACTATTCTTCGACCAGATGAAACGATCGAGCAGTTCAGTCGGCCTCGACAGGTCGACCACTTCGAGGACTTAACACCACGTTGATCGGCCTAGTCATAGGCGCGTGAGAGAGCCTCTAACGGAATTCCAGGAGAATATTTATCCCAAGTGCAGGGGGACACGTGTCGAGAAGGCAGTGGTGGATAGCGATAACCACCTCTGACAGCCTACCCCATGTGCAGGAGGACACGCGTCCAAAGAGGATTGGTGCAGGCGATAGTGGCGACGGCTACCTCTGACACACGCGTATGGTGTGTACGGACGGGCAGTTAGGGCAGACAGCTCATCAAATCCGAGCAACCCTAGGTCAGGTATCTCACCCCTATATAAAGGGGGTGAGCTTTTCTTCTTCAACACGATCATTCTATTGCTTACTCTTGAGAAGTGATTGAACATACACTGACTTAAGCTTCGGAGGCTCTTCACCGGAAAACCCCTCCGGTGTGAGAGTTCCTTGTAGGTACACGACGTTGAACCGGCGAGAAGGAAGGCGATTATCCAAATTCCAGTTGGTCGGGAGGTTTTGTGTTACCATTTGGCGCCGTCTGTGGGACTTCGTTTGAAAAGGTGTGCTTGAAGCTCAGCTATGGCGGACGGAATTCCCAAAAATTTACAGTCGACGTTCGATGATGCTTGGACGACGACCAGGCCGTTGGGACAAGGTCCTCCTCCGGGTTATTCTGGCCCATCGCAGACGCCGATCACTCCCGCACCTGTACTCCAAGGTGTGGGAGCGACGACGGCGATTCCCGGAGGAGGCATCGGCTCCAACCGTGCCCAGGAGACTCGCGCAGCGGATGCGGCGGCGATGCCACCACCACCGCCACAAAACCCAGCGGCGGCACAACCTGGAGGAGCAGCGGGACAAGTAGGAGCACCACCGCAGGCAGCGGTGCAAGTCCCCGGCCAGCAGGTGGTGATGACCAGGCAGGAGATGCAACAAATGGTGGCGGAGGCAGCTGCGCAGGCGGTGCAGCAATTCACGAACAGTCTCTCTCGGGCTACTGCAATGCAAAACACTGTTGCAGGGTCACGTCAAAATGCAGAGGAGGATGAATCTAGCTACGGTGGAGGCGGGCCCCCACACGACCGGGAGATGGAGAGAATGGCGGAACAGCTGCGTCGATTGCAGGCTAGGGTGGATGGTCGAGCGGAGAGACGCGCTCGAGGACACCCGTTCTCGGCGGACATACTAGCGGCACCCTTGCCAGTTAATTACAAGGATACCAATTTGGTGTTCGATGGGACTTTTGACTCGTCGAGACATGTGAGAACATTCGAAAATATGGCTGTGTTACATGGATATACTGATCCCGTTAGTTGCAGGGCTTTCTTATCGACCCTCAGGGGAGGGGCACTCGACTGGTTCCAGCAGCTCCCCCCAGGCTCGATTGTGGACTTCGAGGATTTTGCGGAGAAGTTGACAAACCAATATTCGAGCGCGGTAGCTCAGGAGAAAATGTACTTAACACTGATGGCAATGAGGCAAGGCTAGAAAGAGTCATTGCGCAAATACGAAGCTCGATATAACCAGGCTTGCTTGGAGATTCCGTCGGCGGTCGACGAGGTCAAGGCGGGAGGATTGATTAGGAGTTTGCGGGCAGGACCATGCCGGACTTCTCTGGCTAAGACCCCTGCTCGTACGTATGATGAGGTGTTGAGGAGGTGTAGGAAATACATTAATCTCGAGGAGACTGAGACAGAGTTTGCCAAGTTGGAGGAGTTGGGTCGAGGGGAGTCGAGGAAGGAGAAGGCAGTTTCGCCCAAAAGGAGAGCCTCGCCCAGGAGAGAGGGGCGAGCTAAGCAGGATCGAGGACGAGAGGACAGATGGAAGGACATGCCTATCTCTGGAGGGAAAAGATATCATGATTATACCCCGTTGAACGCAAAGGTGGCCAAGGTCTTGATGGCCATGGAGAAAGGGATAGATGGGAAAGATGTAACGTGGCCGAGGTCGAGGTTCGAAGGTCCAACCCCACCGAAGTCGAGGAGATATTGCCGCTTCCACAAAGACTATGGCCATACTACTAAAGACTGCCGACATCTCAAGGACGAGATTGAACGCCTCATTCGGGCAGGGCATCTTGAAGAGTTTGTTTATCAGGATAAAGTGAGGAGGAAGGAGAAGAGAAGGTGTCGGGAGGACTCGGTGGAGAAGAGCGAGGAAGATGATGAGGAGGCGCGAGGTGGTCGAGATGGTCGAAAAAGGGATGAGGGGAAAAAGAGGCGAGGAAGTAGGGAACGAGAAAGAGAAGGAGATGGAGGCCAAGTGAAGAGAGGAATGATATACATGATTTCCGGAGGACCGACAGATGGAGACTCGAATAATGCTAGGAGGGGCCATGTTCGGGCGATGAAGAGGAAGAGAGAGGAGGTGAGTATCACGGCTCGAGTGCCAGAAATCAGTTTCCAAGCAGAAGATGCAGCGGGGGTAGTGATACCTCATAACGATGCCTTGGTGATTACGACAGAAGTAGCAGGTTTCGATGTAAAGAGAGTATTTATAGAAACGGGAAGTTTGGTCGATGTCATGTTTTATGATTTCTTTGTGCAAATTAATCGGGAGTTGAATTTGGAGTTGAAGCCGGTGGCTACAGCCTTGTATGGTTTTAATGGTAGGGAGGTTATGCCAATGGGGGAGGTGAGTCTATCTGTGGCACTGGGAAAAGGAGCGACTCGGAAAGTTCGAATGGTGAGATTTGTGGTCGTAGGAGCTGAATCATCTTACAACATCATAATGGGGAGAACGAGCTTGAACGCGTTCCAGGCGGTCGTATCTACGTACCATATGACGATAAAGTATCTTGTGGGCGAAAACGTTGGTGAGATCGCTGGGGATCAACTGACCTCGAGAAGCTGTTACCAGACCACTGTGAGCAACAACAAACAATGGGCAAGGAGGCAGGTGCACTCTAAAGGGGAGGAAATTAATCGACCAAGAGGGTCGAGGTCGAAGGAAGAGAAGAATAAGTTGGAGAAGGGGAAAGAGAAGGTAGATATCCAACCGGGTGGCGAAGTTGAGGAGATACAAATGGTCGAGGGATACGAAGAGAGGAAATTTCGGATCGGGGAGGAATTGGAGGAGCCAGTGAGATCGAGGCTGATTAGTGTGATAAGGGAGTTTGCGGACGTATTCGCATACTCGACGAAGGAATTGACGGGCATTAAGTCTGAAGTTATTGAGCACCGTTTGAACATCGACCTCACTGTAAGACCGGTGAAACAAAAAAGGAGACATCACGGAGCAGAAATGGATAGAATAATTGAGGCGGAGGTGGAAAAACTCTTGGTGGCAGGTCATATAAAGGAGATCCAGTTCCCAGAGTGGCTATCGAACACAGTTATGGTCTCGAAGTCAGAGGGGAAATGGCGGATGTGCATAGATTTTCGAGATTTAAACAAGGCATGCCCGAAGGATTTATACCCACTGCCCAGGATCGACCAGCTAGTCGACTCCACAACAGGGTGTGAGCTACTCAGCTTGATGGATGCATCCCAGGGTTATCATCAGATCCCGCTGGCTCGAGATGATTGGAATAGGGTTAACTTTGTAACAAGCTGAGGAACATACTGTTATGTGGTGATGCCATTCTGTCTAAAGAATGCAGGGGTGACATATCAGAGGTTGGTGGATAAAATTTTTAAGGATCAGCTGGGAAGGAACATGGAGGTGTATGTGGATGATATGCTGGTAAAGAGCAAAGAGGAAATTGACCATGTAAATGACTTGAAAGAAACATTCATGACCCTCCGGAAGTATGGGATGAAGCTGAATCCCGCTAAATGTTCATTCGGGGTCAAATCTGGGAAGTTTTTGGGTTACATGGTCACGAAGAGGGGAATCGAGATCAACCTGGAGAAAGTAAGGGCGGTGGTCGAGATACAGACCCCCACGAAGGTGAAGAAAGTGCAGATCCTAACTGGTCGAATAGCAGGTTTGAGCCGCTTCATCTCCAAAGTAGCTGAGAAAAGCGGGCCCCTGTTCAAGACACTCAGAAAAAGCTCGAAATTCCAATGGACGGAAGAAGCCCAGAAGGCATTCGAGGAGTTGCAGAAGGTGCTGGTCGACCTGCCATTATTGGCAAAACCAATGCAAGGGGAGGACTTGGTGTTATATGTGTCCATTGGTGAGACGGCGGTGAGCTCGGTGTTATTGCGGGAGGAAGGAACAGCCCAATTCCCTATCTATTACGTGAGTAAGGTGATGCAGGGGGCGGAGAGGAGGTATTCAGAGATTGAAAAAGGGGCCTTAGCAGTGGTCGTCACTGTCAGAAAGCTGAGACCATATTTCTTGGGACATAGGGTGAAGGTCCGGACGAATATGCCATTGGGAGAAATGCTAGGT